AACTCAATCCATAACCCATTGACATTGCGCTCTTCTTCCATCAATAAATTTGTTAACGCCAATGGATCATCTAGACTATTGTGCGAATATATATTATCAATTGCACCATTCCATTATAGTCTAAGAGTTCTGATAATGGCATTAATTATAGCTTGGGGAGGTATTTTAAAATCATAGCCCCTTTATTTTGATGCAAGTTGGATTTTCTTGAAACAATGATTTTTCATTGGCGTGCCTTCAACCAACATTTCTTCATTAAAGTCACTCCTTAGTCTTCTAATCACCAATCAATGGTTGAATTTTCGATAAACATTAGGTAGAGGAGGTTTCATTCTAAAATTAAAAGAAAAAGTTATAATTAATAATCAACAAAGAAATAATGCACTAAGATTTGTGTGAAATAATGCACTAAGTTATAATTAGGTAGAGGAGGTTTCATTCTAAACATATGTATAACACCTGATGTAGCAATATATCTTGGAAGACTTCCTTATAAACAATATTTTGTGTGAAATCATCAGGTTCACCACTTTTATTTTTCATTAAGATTTTCAATCTACATGGAGAAGTTGCACGGGATATAACAACATATAATTGCCCATAAGAGAATACGGGTTTTGACAAATAGACACCTACATGTTGCATTGTTTTCCCTTGACTTTTATTAATGCTCATAGCAAATGTCAACCGTAAAGGAAATTGTCTCCATTTTATCACAAATAGTCACTCTTTATTAGTAGGTGAAAGAGTAATCTTTTGAATAAATACGGTATTCCCTGCATGAGTCCCAGTAATTACTTTGGCTTCAATGACCCAATTCCCCATCTTTTGAATAATTAATCGGGTTTCGTTACATAGACCAATTGACGGATTCAGATTTCGTAAAAACGTAACAAGGGCTCCAAATTGTGATTTGGAAGTCCAAGAAAATTGAGAAAGTGTAACAACTCCGAAGGATTCATATTTTGTTCGCTATCATCACCATTTATTGAAACTAAATTGTCAGCACTTTAGTATATTTGCACATTTTCTAGCAGTTTTGTGAGCATCATTGAGTTTATTTCATCAACATCAACATTCCTTGGGGCCAAAATACCATGCTGTTGTAAATATGACCAATCAGTATATCTCTCCTCAAAGCATGGATATATCATATCAAGAAGAAGTTCAATTCCTCCATTACTGTTGTCAATAAGAAACTTTCTTGGAAATTGTATCCAATTTGGCTCTTTACCTTGAACAAAAGATATAGCCAGCATCTTACCATGTCCAATCTGTAAAACTCAATCTGCAAGTTCTTGTAATTGTAAACGCTCTTCTTCTGTAATGTTCGAAGACAGAATACGCATATTGGTTTTAAGCGTAAGAACTTGACAGACGCATATTGGTTTTAAGCGTAAGAACTTGATAGACGCATATTGGTTTTAAGCGTAAGAACTTGACAGTGATCCCATAGGTGTGATCTTTGAATCGCATATACAACAATTTATTCTCTTCCACCTTTCTTAATAACTAGCAAGATTTGACGAAAATCACTTCCAAGAATAATCAATTTCCCTCCAAAAATTGCATTTCCTGCAATTGCTGACATTCCTGTCATTATATCACTAAAAGTTCTGTCAACCGCTTCAAATTCATTCCTATTTGTCATAGGAGCTTCATCCCAAATAATTAAATCCGCCTTTTGGATCAATTTTGCTAAATTTGTTTGTCTTCTTCGCCCAATCGTTAAAACGGGTCCTGCGTCTACCCGAATGCAATTTTTTTTCCTTTTTTTCAGTTTTATTCTTTTTTAATACACTTTTTTCGTAAGGGTTCTCAGTGTTATCCTTCAGCAATACGTTTTAATCACAAAAATAAAAAATTAAAGAAAAAACTAATACATACCTATTTCAAGGTGGGTGTAGTATGGGAAGAAGACGTTGTTGCAGAAGAACGGGAAGACCGCCCAGATGAACCGCAGTATCGGAAGAGAGATCAAGGGAGTTCAATGAACCTATGAGAGCACTACGGGAAGAGAGAGCAGTAGTATTTCAGAATCACCAATACGTTTTAATCACAAAAAAAGAAAAAAATAATAATAATAATAATAATACATACCTATTTCAGGGCAATTGCATTACGGGAAGAGAGACCAAATTCCCCAATGAGAGCAATACCGGAAGAGAGAGCAAGAGAGTTCAATGAGGCTATGAGAGCAATACCGCAAGAGAGAGCAAGAGAGTTCAATGAAGCTACGAGAGCAGTATGGGAAGAGAGAATGGAGTCTGTTTTAGAAATCAACTATGGGAGGTAGGTGATAATTAGGTGGATTAAAAAAATAAAAAATTCAAAAAAAAAAAACAGGAAATTAATTAATTAGCTAACTTAAAACATTTCATGGAATATTATACATATCTACTTACTAATAGTTGATAACTTGTTTTAGCATTAYTTATTAATACTTATTTTAGTTTTCCTGGTTATCTTAGAAATATTTTGTTTTGATTAATTTCTTATATCGGCATTATATTTTATTAATTGTTAATAAAATATAGAGAATTTCAGTTTACTTTTGGGGGATCGCTAGGCACGGCCCAAGCCCATGTGAAATACTATAATTATTGAAAATATGGGTAATTAGTATTGTTAATCAACAGTATTAAAATACTGAAATTATTAAAAATACTGTAATCATTAACAATGTTTTTAACTGTTAATTATTAAAATACTGTAATTATTAACAGTTAACAGTATTTATTAAAATACAGATAATTATTAAAATGTTGTTAACTGTTAATAAATACTGTATTTATGAAAATACTATAATTATTGAAAATATGGTTAATTAGTACTGTTAATTAATAGTACTAAAATACGGAAATTTTTATTATTTAAAATATATTGTGTACAGATAATTATTAAAATACTGTTAACTGTTAATAAATACATACTATAATTATTGAAAATATAGTTAATTAGTACTGTTAATTAATTGTATTAAAATACTGAAATCATTATTATTAGTATTTTTATTATTTAAAATATATTCTGCACATTTCCAACTGACCCGTACTGTGTACAGGTCCAAATGAACCGTAATGAGTACGAGTCTGGATCAGATGGACCCGACTATTCGTATTCGGGTTTTTGAAAATGGGCCATCGTAGACCCGTTTTCGTCGTCTTCTTCGCCCGAAATGTTATACAGGTCATGTATCGACCCGTTTAGTTATACCTGTTTGTTAGTTTTTTTTTTTTAACTATTTTTTGTTAAATCTTCATTTTTTCAGTTATTTATGCGTCGTTTCTCAATAAAATAGAGGTTTGACCTCCTACCTATTGTTTGGGAACGTTTGAAGAAAACCTGCGTAAAAAACTCAGAAGTGAGAGGTAAAACGTCTGAAACTCCTACAACGTTTGTAACGACTAAAACTTTTGCTTGGAAGAAAACTTGCATAAAAAACTCAGAAGAATGGAAGGAAAGAAAGTCTCAATAAAAGAGAGTGGTTGAGATGGTTCAACCTTTGGTCTCTTGAAGTTGTTTTCGGTCTGAGACTAGGAGAATGTGATTGCTAGACGTCTAAGAGTGGGAGGGTAAGTGAAAAAATGGTGAGATGGTTCAACCTTTGGTCTCTTGAAGTTGTGTTTTGGTCATCTCTCGACTGCTCCCAGAGAGAAGCAGCACTGCAGCAACAGCAACAGATTTGGCATGAATTTAGGTGAGAAGAAGAGTGTTGAGAGTAGTAAGAACAGAGGCCGCCGTTCAAGCTCAAAGGTCTCAAAGCTGAGTTGTATGGATCCTGTTGGCCTACAGATTCTTGTACACTGTTCAAGCGACGGATCAAACATGGTCATGAAAATCATAACCAGTAGATTTCAAGAGTGAAGGGAACGGAGCCCCTATTCGCACGTTTGGATTACTATCCACCCTAATCGTATTAATATATATATATATATATATATATAAGATATAAGATTCTTTTATTACTATTATATATTTAGTTTTTTATTAATTTAAAATATTAATATGGCAAAATTTAGGAATGGTAACGAGATGGGCTTAACATGAGACCCATAGGCCCATCCTTGGTGGTCTTTCAGCTGTTTACTAGCCGGAGCCCGGGAAGATGTTTAATCCAGAAGAAACTCAACAACAGGCCTAACAAATTAATTGTAGGGAATTTCAGGCCATCTTTCAACGACTGCACATCGTCTTGCCCCGTAGTGATAGAAATTTTAAAAGTCACACTCCATTGTAACCTTACTCCATAGGCAGATAGGGCTGTTTCTTTTTGTTTGTGTATGTAATCTGGAATCACATAAATCTTTGTGCATTTGTTTCCTTGTTATACTCTCCTTTTCTCTATTGTTCCTTTGGTTTGTTCTTGCGTTCCTTCACATTTTGAGCCTAACAAACTTGGGTTCCTAAGTTCATTGATTGGAAGCTATGATTCTTGTGTTTCTTACATCACTCGCACTACGATTCTGGCTGGTGTGTGGGAATCCCGCATAGAGATTCGCACTAGAAACTAAGGCTTAAGGCTACAGTCTGATGCTAAAGCTCTTGTTGAGGATCTAAATCAAGCATCTGGCTTGTGGGAAGACCATCTCCTTTTCTATAGCTTATAGCTTTTTGATTTATTGACTATAATGTAGTTCTGAACCTCTAATGAAATAGCTTATAACATGGTCTATACATTTCAAAAAATTAAAAAAAAAAAAAGAATAAAAAAGACCTATAAATATAAAAGAGCAAAGCTTCGGTCTCATTACTCTCATCCCACATCGGTTAGTTAGAGGAATATAGAAAGCTTTATAAAGGAAAATTGAGAGAATTTGGTTGTGTTCGTTGAAAGGAGAGACGGTTGGCATCTCCCCTGACAGGGACGGGAACAGCCTTCGGGCTTACCTGTTACCACACATACGGTTAAGGCTACCCGCTTCGGCGGATCTTACCCAATTTTTTTTTATTTTTTACCGTTATTTTGTATATTTTGATCCTTAGGCGGCAAAAATATTAAATATCTACGAGTGGATATGGTTGGTTAGTTCCTCAGAATCGAACACCAGAGCTAGAGTTCCCTCCCAGTCGCCAGTCGGCCAGTCCTACTCTCTCTCTCTTTTGCTCTGATAGTCTGAACCACCCATGACTTCTACGGTCTCAACAGCTTTGGATCTTCGTTTTACCATATCTCTTCCATCAGACTCAAAGAAACCCAGTTTCCTCTCCTCACCTCTCAGACTCTCTACAAAGAGGTTTACGGTTTTCTGCAAATCTCCTTCCGAGATAGCAGAGCCTCGCCAAAACCCATCTCTCTCTGACCAATTGAAACCCCTCTCTCTCACTCTCCTCTCTGACACCAAGGACCAGCAACCGCAGCCCACCCTCCTCTCAAAGCCGAAATCTACTTGGGTTAACCCCTCCAAGCCCAAGCGCTCTGTCCTCTCTCTTCAACGCCAGAAACGTTCCTCTCACTCTTACAACCCTCAACTCAGAGACCTCAGGCTCTTCGCCAAGAAGCTCAATGGCTGTGAACCTACCGAAGCCGCCTTCTCTGTTGCTCTAGAAGAAATTCCACACCCACCCACTAGAGAAAATGCCCTGTTAATCCTCAACAGCTTGAAACCATGGCAGAAAACCATGCTTTTCTTCAATTGGCTCAAGACCCAGAACCTTTTCCCCATTGAAACAATCTTCTACAACGTTGCTATGAAGTCCCTGCGATTCGGGAGGCAGTTTGAGCTCATTGAGGAGCTTGCCCAAGAGATGATCAACAATGAAGTTGAGCTTGACAACATTACTTACTCTACCATCATAACTTGTGCCAAGAGGTGCAACCTTTTTGACAAGGCTGTGGAGTGGTTTGAGAGGATGTACAAGACTGGTTTGATGCCTGATGAGGTTACTTACTCTGCTGTTTTAGATGTTTATGCCGAATTGGGGAAGGTGGAGGAGGTTTTGAGCTTGTATGAGAGGGGAAGGGCAAGCGGGTGGAAGCCTGACCCGATTGCTTTCTCTGTTCTGGGGAAGATGTTTGGGGAGGCTGGGGACTATGATGGCATCAGGTATGTCTTGCAGGAGATGAAGACTCTGGGGGTTGCGCCCAATTTGGTCGTTTACAATACGCTGTTGGAAGCAATGGGCAAGGCTGGAAAGCCGGGTCTGGCCAGAGCCCTGTTTGAGGAGATGGTTGCGGCAGGTTTGACCCCAGATGAGAAAACACTTACTGCTCTGGTTAAGATTTATGGGAAGGCGAGATGGGGTCGGGATGCTCTGCAGCTCTGGGAGCGGATGAGATCGAACAAGTGGCCGATGGATTTCATTCTTTACAACACATTGTTGAGCATGTGTGCTGATCTTGGATTAGAGGAGGAAGCTGAGAGGCTGTTTGAGGATATGAAACAATCAGAGCAATGTAGTCCGGATAGCTGGAGCTACACAGCGATGCTTAATATATATGGCAGTGCGGGTAAGGTTGATAAGGCGATCGAATTGTTTGAGGAAATGTCGGAGTCAAGTGTGAAGCTCAATGTGATGGGATGTACTTGTTTAATACAGTGCCTCGGGAGAGCCAAGAGAATCGATGATGTTGTGAGGGTGTTTGGGATCTCAATTGGTAGAGGGATTAAGCCTGATGACCGTCTTTGTGGGTGCTTGCTGTCTGTTGTGTCTTTCTGTGAGGAAGATGAGGATGTGGACAAGGTTCTTTCTTGCTTAGAGAAGGCTAATGCCAAGTTGGTTGCATTTGTTAAACTGCTTAGAGATGAGGAAGCTAACTTTGATAAAATCAAACAAGATCTACGTATGATACTCAATGAAGCTGTGGTCGAAGCCCGTAGACCTTTCTGTAATTGCCTGATTGATATATGCCGGAACCGGAATCTCCATGAGAGGGCCCATGAGCTGCTATACTTGGGCACTCTTTATGGGTTGTACCCTGGTTTGCATAACAAGACTGAAGATGAGTGGTCATTGAACCTTAGGTCACTATCCGTGGGTGCAGCCTACACTGCTTTTGAAGAGTGGATGGGGAGTCTTTCTAAAATCATGGAGCGTCAAGAGGCACTGCCAGAAGTGTTCTCTGCTTATACTGGTTCAGGGACTCACAAGTTCTCTCAGGGACTTGCTAGCACTTTCGCTTCCCATTTGGAGAAATTAGCTGCTCCATTTACGCAAAGTGAAGAGAAAGCTGGATGTTTTGTGGCTACTCGAGATGATTTGGTATCATGGGTGCAATCCAGGGTTCCGCCTCCAGCTGTTGGTGCATAATAATATACACAGGAACAGGAGCACCATCTTCAACTGAAGCTTATACTGTTGTGACTACCTGTAAACTTTTCCGCTATTTGTGTTTGCAGTTTTGGGGTTCAACCATGAATCCTATCATCTGTTTACTCTTGTATTTGTTGAATTATTTAATTCTACCTTTTAAACGATCTTATCTATTATCGCTAATATCTCTGTGTCGATGTTGAATGCATGAAGAACAATGATCCCATGGTTGTGTGCTGCATCAGTGTTTGCCTGTTTCACCCTCATGTTTTATCATTCAGAAGCATTTCCACATAAGGCTCCTGATAAAAGATAGTTCCTAAACTACATGGACTATTTCAACCTTTCATTTTTTGGATTAGAAGATCAATTGTAGAAGAATCTTGGATTTTCTTTTTCTTTATAAACCGGTGTGGTGCAACACCACCAAAGAGATTACATATGCTCATTGTTTGAAATGTTAAAGATTGGCAAAAACCTTCCCCCCAACATTTTCCTCTGGAAGAGGAAAAGAATACATAGGAAAAATATGTGGAAAGAAAAAAAAAAATGAAGGACAAATGATTCACAGAGCCCCCACCAATGCGCAACAGAAAAACCAACCCTTTCCCCAAAAGAGCTCTTCCTGACAATCCAATATCAAATTCCGGTGGGTTCATATTGAACCCAATTTTGCATCTGTTTGAGAAAGCAGCAGCCTCGATGAAAATCTAACATCAGTGCCGATCATGCTCGTTGGTTATACCATGCCCAGCAAGTACCAGATAAACAAATCCTTCTTGGACCATGAAAAATGGGTCAATAAACAGAACTTGCTAGCTTGAATGATAGACTCCCCTTGGTAAGGCTTACATTACATTGGTCTTGAGAGAGAAACCAATTGAGTTGCTGAAGTAATTTGTATTAAAAGTCATGAATAGAGGGGTAGCCATTTGCGAAGATGTTTCATAGGTATTTTCCTGATGACTTCCAAATTCTTCCTTCTAGTGATATCACCATAACAGTAACATCATCATGATACTTTCTGCGGTCTCCTTGTGGAATGTCCAATAGCTCATGAAAATCCATGCCTGCAACCAATGCATGTCAGTCTCAAAAATAGGTCAGCGTATACTAGATCTTAAAAGAATGGAGATATAATCCATATAGCATCTTCATAMTCTACTGAAAGATTTATAACAAGTAAAATGATACCTATAGAAGTATAGATTACTCTGTATTTTTTATTAAATGCCCTTGCTGGCAAGGGCATGGAAAATCTGCTGTAATAGAAACTACCACCTATACATACATTATTGAACATGGAGCATCCTTCTCCATTCTATATGGATCTAAAATTGGCCTAATATTAATAATCTTGACACAATCTTATGAGATGTGCGACATATCTGGCTTGTTGCTATATTTTGATGAATTAACCTTACCCATGTTAAATAATGATACTCTAACCTACAGTTAATATCATCACCATCCATTCCTTATCCCAATATTATGGGGTCGGCTACATGGATCCTGCTTTGTCAATCCGTTTTATTTAAATTCATATCCACTTTTAAGTTATTTGTTCTTAAATTGTTTCTTACTACTTCTACCCATGTCCTTTTTGGTCTATCCCTTCTAGCCCCTTCAACTTGTAACAAATCTTCTAACTGGTGCTGTCAATGGTCTTCTTTGCACGTGACCAAACCATCTAAGTCTACTTTCTCTCATTTTATCACCTATTGGGGCTACTCCTAGGTTCCTATGGATGACTTTTTTTATGAGTGAATGGTATTTTATTAAACAGAGATAGAAATAGTACAAGCATGAAGCACCCTAAGAGGCACGAGGTGTTACCTCCCCTTAAAGGTGGTTCCAAACCCAAATCTTTTCAAATTACAGTTACAAAATAACCAAAAACAGAGAATCCCTTGAAGCCCCTTGTTTAGCTAAAGAATCTGCCAAAGCATTTGCCGATCTACTAACCCACTGAAAGCTAACTGACATGGTTCTCATAAGCCAATTGACTTTTTTAATGATGTTCCAATATCCCCAAACAACAGTTTCTGGGTCCGACATCCATCCCACTATCACCTTAGAGTCTCCTTCAACTATCAAATTAGTCACTCCATGTTGGTTGGAAATCTATAGTCCTTGTACCACAACTAATATCTCAGCCCTCGTAGAATCTCCATAACCCACTGGACCTAAGAATAAGGACAGAATGTTGCCATCCTTATTCCTCAAGATCCCTCCTATACCTGAAGGTCCTGGATTGCCTTGACTGCTCGCATCAAAGTTCAACTTTACAACTCCTTCCACAGAAGGTAACCAACTTGCTTGTGTTCTATTTTTCTTGGATGAGGTGTAGGCCACTGCTGCCCAACTCCTTCGAAGGTCATCGAAAATGGTCACATTGAAATATCTCTTGGCCTCCAATCCTAAGTGTATCCTGATTTATACTCCTATTAGTACTAAATTTACATGTCATATATACTGTTTTAATTTTGTCCATAAAGCTTAATTTTGCATTTCATCCTTCATTCAATATGCTTTTTAAAATTCTTTATTACTTCAGCATTTATATTTTCATATTTTCATATTCTTTTATCAAATATAATTTCATGGCCACATTTATGCACATGCCCGCCCACCTTGCACCTTAGTTGCACTTTCTCACTTACAAAACACTAGAGTTGAGACAAGCTTTCAGCATTTTACATTCATATTGGGAATTTAGGATCAATGTTTTCAATGTGCCAAGATTATGAATAGTTTTCATAGGCCCTCCTATGCAATGTGTCAACTAGTTGGTGTTAGGTGCTAACTAGTTGTACAAAAAACATATGCTAAATTTAACATAAAAGACCTAAAAGAACTTTATTCTGTCTTACTTTACGTCTTATTCCTATTTAATATTCTCTGCCAAGTCCTGTGTCATTATCTTTTGATAAGAAAATTGATGTCAAGTCCTGTGTTATCATCACAAAGCATGAAACCAAACCAGGTTCATGTAAATTATAAGGCATACAAGAGCACTATCTTAAATGCTTAGAAATAGACATAGAAGAAAAACTTTATAATGAGTAGGTGCATGATTATATGTATTAACTAGTTGACTAGTTGTTTGTTAGTAAACCTAGTCAACACTTAATTGTCTCAGTTGACCGCACCATGGGTATCAACTGACTAGTGAATGATGCAGTTGATATGTCCTTAACTGGCTTGCCAATCAACTAGTCATGCATGGCCTAGTTGATGCTTTGAAAAACTACTAGAAATTTCTTCTACTTTCACTATTAAGTAAGAAAAGAAAAGAATATAAGCCACCTTTACATTTATAGTCCAAGAAAGAAGGAAAACAAAAAGAAAAGGAGGGACAGTTTGTCAAACAACCCTTTTCTTTAATATACTGAAAGCTTGCAAAAGGGAGCATTTTCATATGATTTATACCCATTTACTGAAAGAGCCCAAATACCATTAGATGAGCCTGTCAATGAGGCCTCAAAGAACAAAGCCAAGTCGAAGGCAGACAAAAGTTTTACCAAAATGGCCCATGTAACCCCATAATCAAAGAGAACAACATATGATAAACTCTATCTGCATCCAGTTTGCTAATGCAGATGTAGAAGACAACCTGTTGTGGATGCGTTCGTGGGGAAGACATACCGCCGCCGGCAGCAGCAGTGATGAGGGGCCCACGTGGGCAGCAGCTTATCTTATCAGCTTATCTTATCCTTAGCCAGCAGCAGCTTATCTTATCCTTACCAGTTTCTCTCATCTGTTCTTATCTGTTTCTTACTTTATCTATTAGAAGAGTAGTAGGAGTTTGATTTATCTTAGGGAAGCCTTATCCTTCCCAACTTGGGAGTCTTATCTATAAGCAGTCGAATTCAACAAGGAGTCTTCCTGCAAGGAGGACTCTCACCTCTTGTAATCTCGTATTTAAGGAGCTGCGATTAGAGAGTAAAGCATCCAAAATTTCAATCAAAGAGAAGAGTAAAGGAGAGTTAGGGTGATCTCTTGGACAAATCACCCCTTAGGTCGCCACGATAGGGTCTGCACGCAAAGGGAGGGGCAAGGGGAAACTAGAGGTTCTCCCCGTGGACCGACCCGTGACGAGATCCTACGCCCGGGCCCATAACATTTTGGTATCAGAGCCGAACGTCATGGGCGATCTGGAGCAGCTGTCATCCAGGGTCCACGAATTGGAGCCCCGGCTCGTGGAAAACCACGCAGAAGTACGAGAAGTCAAGGATGATGTCCGGGAGCTTCGTCGCTTGCTAGAGTCATATTTCTCCAACAGGGAGAGGAGCCCCGAAGGGACGCCAACCACCAACAACCACTGACCAGATTTGGCGGAATCATCCGGCGAACGACAGATCGTCGCCCCAGCAGCAGCAGTCATGCCCAAGTATAGTAGGCTGGAGTTCCCTTCATACAGCGACAACGGAGATCCACTTGGATGGCTATACCGTTGTGAACAATTCTTTTGCAATCAGCGTACGGAGGAAAGAGATAAGGTCAGTCTGGCCGCGTTCCATCTAACGGAGGTAGCACAACTCTGGTTCTACCGAGTGGAGTAGGAGGAACCAGGGCTCAGCTGGGACCAATTCAAGTTCTACTCCCTCCTCAGGTTCGGGCCCCCATTGACGAGCAACCCGCTAGGTGAGTTAATCAACCTCAAGCAAACAAGCACCGTGGCTGAATACCAGCGCCAATTTCAGACCCTTCTCGCCAGAGCAGCCTCGGTACGCCCAGATCAGCAAGTGGATATGTTCACCGCTGGATTAGCTGAACCCCTGAGGGTAGATGTGGAGATGCAGCATCCTCCCAACCTGGTCACCGCCATGAACCTAGCTCGCGCTTTCGAACGTAAGCTACAAATCAGCCGAGGATGCTTCAGCATGGGACGATCAGCGACACCATGGACACCCCCGAAGCCAACCGGGRTGGCCCCTTCTTCGGCAACCAGCAAGGAACAAAAGCTTCACACAGGTATCATTCCCAGACCGGCACCTAGCACAGGAAGCAGCATGACGGCACCTCCCATCAAACACTTATCCAGAGCCGAGATAGCAGATCGTCGGGCAAGAGGGCAATGCTTCAACTGCGATGAGCTGTATTCAGCGGGGCACAGATGCAAGAGGCTATTCTGCCTCCTGGTAGACGAACTGGAGGAAGACGAGGACGAACCCGCAGCACTAGAACCCGAGATCTCCCTCCACGCCATCACTGGGATAAAGACCTCTCAAACTATGCAGCTACGGGCACAGGTGGCAGGGAAACTAGTACGTATCCTTGTAGACTCGGGAAGCACGCACAACTTTGTAAGTGAGCAAGCTTCCCTTCAGCTGAAACTACCAGTGGAAAGCAGACCACAACTACAGGTAGCCATTGCAAATGGAGAGAGGGTTCACAGCCCTGGAATCTGTAAGAACATCCAAATACAGGGCGGATCCGAACCCTTCTCTGCTGATTTGTTTGTGCTACCCTTGGACGAGTTTGATATAGTACTTGGGGTTAAGTGGTTGATTACTCTAGGCCCTATCCTATGGGATTTCAGCGCCCTAACAATGTCATTCCACCTGAATGGAAAACAAGTTACTTGGCAGGGAACCAGAGTAAAGGCAAAGAAACTGCAAGTGCATACACTCCAAGGCGAAACTATGCACACAGCGGATATGGAAAGACTCCTCACCGACATCTCAGATATATTTCAAGAACCCAAGGAACTTCCACCTGCCCGATCGTGTGACCATCGGATTCCTCTGATAACAGGTTCAGAACCGGTCGTCGTCCGGTCATATCGCTACCCACATCTGTAGAAGGACGAGATAGAGAAGCAKTGTGCAGACAAGATGAAACAAGGGATCATCCACCCTAGTCGCTCCCCCTTCTCTTCGCCGGTTTTATTGGTACCGAAGCAAGACAGTACTTGGAGGTTTTGTGTGGATTACAGAGAACTCAATAACAGAATCGTCAAGGACAAATTCCCGATTCCCGTGGTAGATGAGCTGTTGGATGAGCTCCACGGAGCCCAGTACTTCTCGAAGCTAGATCTCAGATCGGGATATTTTCAGGTCCAGAT